AACAGAGCCTGGAACTGACCAGTGGAGGCTAAGTACTGTGAGTCCTGGGAAGTGGAGGTCTTCTGTCCTCCTTCCCTGGTCAGAGTGAACCCACCATATCCATGTCGTGAGACACACTGGAGGGTCATGTTCTCTCCTGAGGTCACCACAGGGCTGGGCAGGGCTGACAGCTGAGGTTTACTGTGGACTGTTAGGTTGGAAGGAGGCTGCATGTTAAATGAACTCCCACATTGTCTCCCAGGGTTGGGCTGTGAAAGACACCCTTAAGATGAGAACACTTTTCCTGATGGCAGAGAAGGGGGATGGGGAGCCTGAGTTCCCTCACCTGTCATCACCAGCTCCAGGGCGTCACTGCACTGAGTCCAGCCAGCAGGGCTGTAATAGTAACAGCAATATCGCCCTGCATGTTGCTCTGTCATGGATGAGATGGAGAACTTGGCCTTCTCCCCAGGCTCCAGTGGGATCTGTGTGTCCCAGGGTGCTGAGATTCCCTCTTTCTGCAGAACATATTCTTGGGCATTGAGAATCCCCTGACACCAGATGGTCACGTGACTGCCTGAGGCAATCACAGAGCTTGGCTCAGCCCTGATGGTGGGTTTGTGGTGAGTCTCTGCAAGGAAGGAGGGGCCATGTCAATGTGTCTCTTTGAGCAGTGGCACAGTGATCTCTACACTCAGAGATGACTCTCAGGCTGACCCTGGGTAGCAGAAGGACCCTGGAGCCCTTTGAAGATCCATCTCCATCCTGGAAGTCCCAGCCTTCACTCTCTCTGTCTCCCTTTGGCTTATGTATCTTGGGTTTCACAGTTCCCACACTCTGTTGAAGGTCTCAGAAGCCCTAAGTTCCAGTGTTATTCTAGGGTGAGGCTAGGGCTTCTTCACCTGAGACCTGGAGCTCCAGGGGGTCACTGGGTTCTGACCACAGCTGTGGGCTCCTCAGATTATACCTGTAGCATCTGAGCCTCCACTTTTGACTGGGGATCACGGGGCCCACAGAGAACAGGGCCTGGTACCGCCCTGTGGAGTATATATACTGTGGGTTCAGGGTCCAGGAGAGCTCCTGTGGTCCTTCCTTCTTCAGCACGCATCTATCATATCCGTGTCCTGAGACACACTGGAGGACGATGTTCCCTCCTGAGGCTACTGCAGGGCTATACTGAGCTGAGAGGCTGGGTTTGCTGTAGTGGTATCCTAGGAGAGGAGGCAGAGTGTTAAGTGAACTCACACAGTCCTCACTGTCCTCCAGGCTGGGCTGTGAGAGGGGACACATCTGAGAGCAGGACCCCTTTCCTCAGAGCAAAGACTGGGGCTGAGACCCTTGAGTGACCTCACCTGTGACCACCAGTTCCAGGGGATCACTGAATTCTGACCAGCCAGCAGGAGTTTGATAGTTACAACGATATCGCCCTGCATGACTCCAGTCAAGGGATGGGATGGAGGACTTAGCCTTGTTCCCAGGCTCCAGCAGGGTCTGCATGTGCCCAGGATATGGGTTTCCCTCTTTATAGAGACGGTACTCCAGGGCCCCTGATGTCCCCTGATGTGAGAAGGACACCTGTATCCCTCTGTTGACCACAGAACCTGGCTCAGCCCTGAGCGAGGGCTTGGGAAGGGTCCCTGCAAGGAAATCAGACTTTAGGTAACAGGACACACTCCCTTTGATTCCTCTTAGGTTTTCCCAGCATCAGCCACTCCTGCTTCTCTCTGTCTCCATTGTCCACAGGTGACCCCTTGTCCTCAGTGAGGAGGACTTACCTGTGACACCTGGGTACACACCAGCCAGCACTGGGGTCCTGAGGCCCAGGCTCAGTCCTGGAAGAGAGTTCTCTGTGAGAGACTTGCCCTGAAGCCTGGGCACATCCTTCCCCCCTCGTTGCCTCTGAGCCCCTGAGATGCCTTGGGATTGATTAGAAGGTCTGTGCATTGGGGTCCCTCCCAGACTAGGGTGCCTCCCCCCAGCATTTTGCATGTCAACCAGGCAGAGCAGGGCTGTGAAGGTGGGAGTCATGGCATCTCTTCCTTGTGGCAGCAATGTTGCAAATGGCTGGGGACTGTGCCTTTCCCAGTGGGCAGACACACAGGGTGTGGCCTTTGGAGGCTGGGTCCTCCTTCCTGTCATGAGGCTGTCACCTCAGCAGCCACACAGGAAGTGGAACTGTCCTCCTCTGGAGCTCTGTTTTCCCCCAGTGCCATGGCTTCAGCAAACTTCAGACTCTGTCTCTGTCTCTGTCTCTGTCTCTCTCATCTCTCCTTCCATCTCTTCTTTTTGTAGATGATCTCACTATGCACACCAGGCTGTGCTCAAGCTCACGTTTTTCTCTCCTGCCTTTGCCTCTCCAGTGCCGGTATACCGAGTGTGGATCAGCACCTTGGCTTTTTAAAATAATTTTAAGTAGATCTTCACAAATCCCAGGCAATCCTCAAACTTCAGATTTTCCTCCCTCGCCTCCTGTATGCTGGGATTACACGCAGATGCCTGGTTGCAGTCTCTTCTTACGGACGAGGCAGCCCCCTGAAACCCATCCACATCTGCTGGAACTGTCTCCATGCCATCAAAAGTCAAGAGTTAGCACCAAACAGACCAAGTGCCTTTCCGAGCCAGGACCTCCCAACTGTGAGTGGTTCAGGGCTTGTCCTCCACTCTCAGAGCCTGTGCACTGGGTCTCCTTCACTTCTTCCACCTGACCATCATCACAGTGTTGAGGGGTCCTTCTCATGATCAGTTATCTCCCCAGCCCTGGAGATGCTATGGGGACTTTGTGTGAACATTTTCTGAAGACAGGAACAAAGCTCTGTTTTCTCCAGATAGGGCAGAAATGACAGAAAGAATCGATTCCCCACAAGTCCCACTTGGTGAAAGAATAAGTGTTTTCAATCACTCACAGAAGTGTGTGTGACCTACTGTCAGTACAGAACTGAAGAGACGTTTCTCCCTGAACTCAGCTATCTGCCTATCGCTACTCAAGTAGTGGTGGGCCCTCATGAGCTCCCCCTTTATGAAGGGACAAGTTCATCAGACCAGTCTTGTTCAGGTCCACTGTGGGTCATCACAGTTACTGCGAGTCAAGTGGTCAAGGGTCACACCATGCCTGGAGAACGGTGTTCCACAGTGGGGAGATGCAGGTTGATGCTGCAGGGGGGACGCAGAGCAGCAGAGACACACTGAGCATCTGACTGTGCAGCTCACCTGGAGCCTCTGTCCTGGGGAGGAGCCCAGAGGAGACACGGAAACAGGGAGGGAAACCCCAATGCTCTCATGGCTCTGGTTGGTGTTCCCTTGCTGAATAATCCCCTCCCGATATTTCCCCACCTCCTCTTTTTTATCCACATCAACCACCTCCATCTTTATGAGATCAACCTTCTTGGCCATTCTTGCTTCCCCAGTGCCCCTAAGTCCTTGGTCAGAATTCTAAATGGAGGAGGTTTACTGTGATTCAAGGCCTCTTCCCTCCCACTAGCCTAACTATCTCTGGGCATAATTTTCCTTCTTTACATCTTCTGTCTTACCACTTCTCAGTGTGGTTATGAGGTCAGTTGTACTTGTGACATGAAGAGGATCAGTACTGGCTAATTTTCAGACCAGGGTGCAACATGGGTTTGGGACATGTCAGGTTCATGGTCTTGGACAATTCTTTGTGACTAAAGTTTCCCAATATGCTCTTGAGTATTTAGAGATGACCCATGTAGTATGTAGCACAGTCTTGAGAATAAAACCAATAATAAAAAATGTTGTGTCTTATAGTCATATGGTAAATCAGATGTCACCAGCTGAGGGTCCTCATGGTCTTCTCTATACCATGGGCTTAACAAATACCCCATTCCCTCAACAACAGAATTAAATGTAAATAAATTCATGCAGAAAGGCATAGTCAGTGTCTAGATTCTGAGCATCCACTTAAGGGCAATAACCCTATCTTTGGACATCATGGGAGCTGCTATGAAATGCTGAAACCTGATCTAAACTTGTCCTCTGGGGAAAATGATGGTGAGAGATGACAGCTGAGATTAGCTTAGGGAGTACAGTGAGGGGCTGTTTATTTTCTCATGGCACAGCCATTGATAACTCTCCTGTCTCAGAACCATGACCAAACATCCATCCTAAGAAAGTGCTGTATTAATTATAGGGTACTCTTAAGAAACAGAATGATAGAGTCATTCCTATCTTCTGTCCTTTGAGATATGCCCAGTCATAAGTGACACATCTTCAATGGAAACTCTGTATCTGTCTCATGGAACACAGGAGGGCAGCAGGCAGAGAGAATACTAATACATCCCTCAACTCTCACCAGTGAAACTTCCTCATACAGCAGAGTGCAGTGCACAGGGAAGGCCACAGCTGGCTAAGTTTTAGTGAATAAGAGATTGCAGTGTGTGTGTCCCTGCATAGGACTCCTATATTAAACCTCACCCTCCCATGGCTCAGGGACCATTGCAGAAGAGGGGCCAGAAAGATTGTAAGAGCCAAGGTTGGTTCATAAATATAAGAAAACGGGCTTTCAGGCCATTGGAAACTTGCTCATACGAACTTGCAAAAATGGTATCAGTGTGCACAAGACCCATGCTGACTGAATCAGAAAAAAACTCAGCATAGACCTAGATAAATCGGTAGCAGGCTCCGACCTGGCCAAACTTGCAAAAATGGTATCAGTGTGCACAAGACCCATGCTGACTGAATCAAAAAAAACTCAGCATAGACCTAGATAAATCGGTAGCAGGCTCCGACCTGGCCTAGGAACTATTGGTAACTGATTACTGCTAGGTAAGGGAGAGTAGATCTTCTTCAAGATGTCCAGATAGGCTGACTAGACTCCAGTGGATGAACTTGCATAAAAATACAATGTTGACAAATGTGTGACAGGATAGGACTTCACATACATGACAGAATGCATGAAAATGGGTCGGGAGGAGGGAGTTCAGGTGGAATGGATGGGAAAGAGTTCTAAATGATTAAGTTCTTTTATTAAATACACAAAAACTCAATAAAAATATATTTTAAAAGAATCAGAAAGGACAGGATGAATATATATTTAGGGGGATTTATTACTGTGTCTTTCATGATACAATTTGTGCCCTCTGACAATGGCTGTCTTCACACTAAAGAGGACAAGAACCCAGTGACTGTTCAGTCTATGAGAGTAGATGTCTTCATAGTCCTAACCTGGCCCTGAGGTCCTGGAGGATTCATGGAGGGCCACTGGCTTCACTCCATGGTGGATTCCTGAATGAGCCATTCTGACATCAGAGAAGTGAAGAAACAACAGTAGCATCAGGAACAAAACTGATCAACTTGCCAGTGAGACCCAAAGGTTAGGAAAAACCAAAGCTTTTCCCTCATGCCCCCTTTAATCTGGGCTCTACCAAAAGGGGACACCCACATTTATATAACCCAATCCACTTCAAATAACCCAGTCATGACAATCCTTCACAGGTGTGCCCAGTGATTAACATTGTAGTTGATCCTGTATCTAGTGACGTGACAACCAAGTTCACAGCACAGGTCCACAGCAGAGCTCTTCTTCCATTTCTATCCAGCCACCATCTTCTCCACCCTGCAGACACTCTGAGCTCTCATTGACACATGCAGGTTGGGAATCTGGTCACCTTGGGGACATGATTCACCTACGATGTCTAAGAACACTGATGCTCACGGGGATGAGTGTTAGTGTGTGGACAGGGCTTTCATAACAAGTCTAAGGTGTGAGTAGATCCAGAGGGAACCTGAATAGGATCCTGTAAATAGGTCTCCCTGTAAATTCCCTGCTGGCAGCAGCACTTGGCATGAAGAGATACAGGTTGGAAACTGCGAAGTACATTAAAATCTGTCATTCAAAACCTGTCACTCAAAACCTGTCACTCACATTAGAGGTTTGTGACTCTGTGATACATTTTCAGAAGGTGGCAGTAATGTGATGATTTTGTGAGAAGCTAAAATAATGTGTCCTAAGGAAAGAAACTCTGTTTCAAATCACTGAAACATTCTGATCCAAGTGTAGGCAAAGGGAGTTCCAGCCTCTCTACAACCAGACCTAAATTGACGTGAGCAGCCTCTTTCCCTCACAAAGAAGATTCATTTTTCCACCTTCCCACTTCCTGTGTGTGAGTGGGAAGGATGCATGCTCAGAGACTCTCAGAGGTGGTGCAGAAGACTTCCTGTGTTTTTCAAGGTCTTGTTACCAAATGTCCCAGCTACCCTCCAGTCAGAATAAGCCTGAGCATGTGCCCATTTCCATGTCAGGCCTGGGTAAGGCCTCCATCCACACACGTCCACTAGCACTTGCCAGAGTGGTGGTCATACAGGGATGTGTGATGGACTGGATCCTAAGGGAAGCTTTGATCCTGTGTGATCCATAAAATGGGGAGGATTCCAAACCAATGGAATTTCATAAACATTTGCTGTTTCCTTGATGCTGTGACTTCTGCCCACTGTGTCAAACCTCCAGGACTGAAGGGTACGGCTCTGTGCCCCTCACACCCATCCTCTGCTTTTCGTCTAAACAAGTCATAGCCATTGAGAGAAGCAGGACAGACCTGAGAGGGCTGAGGATGGAGCAGCTACAATGCCCCATCCCAGGATCCCCAGCACTCAGCCACCAAGAGTCCATGGAGGCCACGTCCATAGAACACCATGTCTTCAGTTGAGGACATCCAGAGCAGGAGTAAGGTGGTGGGAGGCAGCTGCCCCTCCTTAGACAAACAAAAGTGTTCCCCAGGCTCTGCCTCAGCACTGCCATACCCATGTGTGAGCACTGTGGGTACTGGGTACATTCAGACATAGGGGTAAAAAGGAGCTGTCTTAGAGAGAAGAAAGATGGGTGGGGTGGCAGCTGAGGACTCACTAAGGCCTTGCTCTGAAGACCTGGCTTTCTCTGGCTATGTTCTTCTTGTCTCCCCTCCCATCTCTCATTCCCTCCCTGACACCGCCATCATTCATCCCAGCTATCACCTTTTGGGCTCCATAAGCAGGACCAGGGGAGAATTTATTCCCTAACTGGATGTTCTGGGCTCTTCACATGAAAATATGATGTTCAGGGCATTGCTGAGGCCAAAGCACTCAGGAGAGAGGCTGTGTATGCTGCAGACTGTGCTAGCCCCTTTATGAGCAGGTCACAGAGTCCAGGGTAAAGTCAACCCAAGAAACTCAGCCTGGTGTTATCACCCAGAGGGCTGTACTCCTAAACACCGGTTAGGAAGATTGGCCAGGTTGGAGAGTTGGTCCCTGCCTTCTCCAATTTTGCCCTGCAGGTGTCACTTCCCCTCACACTCTATGTCTCCGGCTAAGGAGACCATAAACCACAGAGTCTTTTCAGGCACCCTCCTCCTCGGGTTCACCTGGGGTAAGGTCATGGTATATTGCTTGGAACATTTGATTGAAAACATTTCCTCACTGAGATCAGACCCAACAGTCGCTGGGCACCCACCACATTTGGAAACCACTCTTGCCATGTCTGTATAATCTGAACTTTAACCTGTAGTTGGGAGTCACAGAGCCACGGTGAACAGAGCCTGCATGTGCCCATCTCACTGTTACTGTGGATACCAGGTTGAGGAGAGCCTGTGTTCTTGTTCCACCATTAGAATAAAGCTGCCACATCCAGGCCATGAGACACTGTTGCCAAGGACTGTCCTCCAACAGAGAGACCATGGACAGATGCCTTTTTCCCAAGATTGGTTGCACACACTTGCTTAGGATCATCACAGCCTAATTTGGCTGGTAAACTCTTCCAGAAAGGAGGGGCAAGGAGAGTCAGTCACACCTCCCAACCAGCCAGTTGGTGCCAGTTCCAGGAAGGGGAGGGGCTAAGGGTATACAACTGGAGAAGGTGTAGAGAATCTCTCTTGAAATTTTCTGCAGCTGTGGGGAAGTCATGATCCATGCCTGGATGGAGACTTTCCAGTGCAGCCATAAGATGGGGCACCCACAGTCCTGAAAGTAATTATCACCCACTGCTCTGTAAGTAAGTCCAATAAACTCAACTGGTTACCCAGACTAGTTTGACGAAATTGTACTTCGGTTTGTCATAACCAAGGGAGGAAGGGGCCCGACATTATTTGCTTCTCCTGGAAGGAATTTTAGCTACAATTGGCATAGTCGACCAGGATATGACAAAATCCAGGGTGACTTTGGGAAGAGGGATGGTATTGTCTCCGATAAGAGAGAGACCAAAAACCAAGGGAAGCTGAGTGAGAGGAGAGTGTTGGCAGAAGAAATTTTCACATTGTGAGCTATCCCCATAGGGCTGGTGGGGGTAGTGGCAGTGACATGGATCATTCAGTAGATAGTAAGATGCATAACTAAGGTGAAGTCACCTAAGCATGTGATATCAGTGGGAGAAATCCTAGGATGGCTGTCCTCTTGTAGGTGGTATGGAGTGGCACACCTGCTTGACCAATGGGACGCACACAGGAGTA